AAGATTAAGCAAATCTATTTATAAAGCACCTCAAAAGGTGGACCAGGTTTGTCTGATTTCAGTGCTCTTAAGCACTCCACTATGCTCTTCTCCACATTCATTCCACAAATACTTGAGGACTTAACTGCAGTACTAGGCACCATGCTAGGTGTTACAAATACCACAGTGATTAAGAAAGCCAAAAATCTTTCCCTTTCTAAAACTTACAGCATGGAAAATTGTTCAGCCTCATTGTATTAAAAAAAAGAAAAGAAAACTATGCAAAATGCTTAAAGCCAATATCCACATAGATTTACCAAAGTGATAGTCTCCTATACTATAAAGGAATGTGAAATTAACACAGGTATTTTAGTGAATATAATAGATATGGGTATTAAAATCATGAAATATTTGCATAATTTAACAGTCCCAAAGAAAAATCCAAAGTATAAACTATATTTACAAAAGTGTTTGCTATAGTATCATTTATTACAGGGAAAGAAAAAAATCCAGAAAAGTTCATCAACAGGGAAATTTTAAATAAATTATGAGGTGGCCACTTACAGTAGTGTCATGCAGCAGTAAGAAAATGCAACATAATAATTATGGCACGCAGAACAATGTCTTCCCAAAGATGTCCTTGTCCTGTCCTGCAAACTTGCAAATACCTTAAGTTACATAACAAGTAGGAAGTAAGAGGCTTGATCAAATGACCTAAAAACAGGGAGACTATGCTGGATTATCTAAGTGGGCCCAATGTAATGACAAGGATTTAAAGTGGAAGGGGAGGCAGAAGAGTCAGCGTCAGTCTGATCCACCATGAGGAATATTTGATAAGCCACAGCTGGCTGTGAAGACAGAGGAGGGGGCCATTACCAGGGAGGGCAGGCAACCTCTAGAAGCTGTAAAGGGCAAGGAAGTGGGTTCTCCCTAGAGCTTCCAGAAAAGAATGCGACTCTGCCAATGTCTTGATTTTCACCAAGTGAGACCCATTTCAGACTTCTAATCTCCAGAACTGTTAGAGAATAAACCTGTATTTATTTGAAGCCACTAAACTTGTGTTAAATTATTACAACAGCAATTAGAAATTAATAGCAATAATCTTGGGTGGGAAGGTGTTAAAATTTCCTCCATGCCAGGCTGCACCCCAACCGAGTTTCAAAGTGAGTGCCACCGTCCTCCATGGTAGGCCATTAGTGCTTGACAGATGCTCCAAAGCGGGACAGGTTGCAGGGAGGATGGCTGCCTCCTAGGATCCAATTGTATCTTCTGATACATCCTCCAGTTTCCTTTCTTTACAAGTATTATCCTTAGCTGGACAGATAATTCGGCTTTTCAAACTCTGGCAACCTTTAGACAACCAGATATGTAACTTTTGGATTTCCTTCTGGATACAGTAAGGACATCTGTATGGAAAAATAATCTCTTCCCTCTTTTCTTTCAAGGTGTACTCCTTCAACTAAATGTGTCTTTACCATAGCTCCTTTCTGAAGGTTAAAGACGTATCCAACGTCTTCGGTTTTTCTTATTAATACTGCAGTCCCAGTATACAATGTCCCTCAGCTTAACCAACAGCTCTGATGCCATATGCAAAGGACAGCCCACTTCTCAGCCCAGAACCCTGGAGCCCTCTGTACTTCCCAGCCTATCCCAAGCTCACCCACTTCCACATATAAGATCTGTTGCTTGCCACACTCCATTCTCTAATGCTACATTCTCTGTAGATTAGGATTCAATTAAAAATATATATGAACTCAAACTATGTTAAAAAAAATTAAAGGAACTTATATATTAGGAGCCTTGATAGAGGTGATGATACAAATTATTATGAGAAAGCTTTCTTCAACAGGGTAAAGACTTTTTACTAAGTGTTGCTAATATTGATTATCCACATGAAAATTTAAAAAACAATAACAAACAAGGCCCTCTTTCATACTATATACAAGAAGTGAATTCCAGATGAACTTCAAACCACAATGTAAAAGGCAGAAAATTTTAGATTTTGAAAAAAAAAAGAATTTCTTACTTAGGAAATAAAAATCAGAAGCCATAAGGAAAATGAGTGATACACTTGATTACACTAAAATCTAAAACTTCTGTTTAACAAAAGGACATCTTTTAAAAGTAAAAAGAATAATAAAGAAAGAAAACAAGTTACAAAATAAGGTATTATTAATTCAATATATTTAGCTTACAAGAATCAGCATAATACATTTAAAAACAAGTCTCAGAAAGTAACTAGAAAAAGACAATCCACAGAAAAATGGGCAAAATACATGAATAAGGAATTCACAGATGAGGAAAACTACATGAATGAAAAGCATATAAAAATATGCTCAGCCTCATAATAATCAGGGAAATAACTTAAGTAAACACAAGATCCTATTTCATGCTAAAGAATTGGCAAAAATTTTGGTTCTAACTATATCAAGTGTTGGGGAGGAAGTGGAGCCTTTAAAACTCTTCACGGGACTGTAACTTTGTAAAACCAGGGTCTGGCAGTAGGTGGCGAGGTTGAAGGTGGGCATAGCCTATGGCTGGCACAGTGATTCACAGCTGAGGCTGGCTTTCCTCAGCCTAGGGAGATCAATGGTGGCAAAAAACTGGGGGTTTGTGCTTTAATTTTAAAACCAAATGGTAGGGAATTGTACTGAGAATAGAAAAGAGACCTCTTTCTCCATTGTCTGTCTATAAATGTAGAGGTGAACTCTGCTTGGCTCTGCTTGAGTCACCTACCTTCTCAAGGTATGTTTCCAGAGGGATGGGGCTGCTGTGATCGGCAAGTCAGGGTCCTGTATCCTCCCCTTTGACCAGAGATGAAGAAGGCAGGACATTATCTTTGACAGTTACATCTGGACCACCCAAAATCAGAGAGGGACAGATTATCAGAGGGAAGCGGGGCTTTTGAGCAAATCCAAACCATATATGTCCATTGTAGGATCAAACTGAGCATGTTGTTTTGTGATCTTTTTTTCCTTGATTCCCAATTACTAATATTACATAAACATTTCTCTGGAGGGATTTATTTTTAATTTTTTAATTGAGCTTATTGGGAAGGAAAAATTTTTACTCTACCCTCTTTGGTTCAGTATCTAGAGTCACATGAACTAAACCAACAGATTAACAGGAGAAAAGATGTACAATTTTAATTAATATTCACAAGTACGGGAGTTCACAGAAAAATAGTGAAACGAGTGATTAGACTAAGGATTTATGTATCTTTTTAAAAGGAAAGGGTTTAGGCTGCAAGGGATGAGAAATCATGGGAAAGTGACTAGCAAGTATACAGGAAAAATTATGGCAGATAGAGGTTATTTTTAGTAAGGTGTGTTTATATAAACTCATCTTAATGCCAACTCCTCATCCACAGTGATAAGAGTTCCCTTGTTTATCTGGTGGAGAGGAGAGGAGACACCTTCACAAAGGAAGATTTATGTCTTGCTTTTAGGCAGATAAGGGGACGGCAAGAACTCTTCTTGCATTTGTTGATTCTCAGTTGTCTTTAGCTAAAAATAATCTTTATGCCAAAGTGGCATCTTTTGGGGTTGCATCCACTTTAAGATGTAATTCACAGTAAAATACACCATTTTCAGTAGTTAGTTCCATGAGCCTTAACAAACGTATACAGTGATAAACCACCACCACAATCAAGATATAGAAAGTATGTCGTATGTCAATAAGCCAGCCTCAGCTGTGAATCACTGTGCCAGCCATAGGCTATGCCCACCTTCAACCTCGCCACCTACTGCCAGACCCTGGTTTTACAAAGTTACAGATCTATGGAATCAGAATACCAGGAAGCATGGCCTGAGAATCTGCATTTTTGGCCAGTGATTCCCATGCACACTGAAGTTGGAGAAACACTGCAGCTAGTCTAGGGTACAACCTGGTATCCTGCATTCTTCCTGACAAGATCAAAGGGCAGGAGAGACAGGGCTAGGAAATATTTTGAAAGGCCTCCAACAGTCAAGGGGAGTGGATCAGATTATTCGCAACACTTTGGTGCCAAGAAATCTGGAACTTCTAAAGCTCTGGGCTAATGCATCCTGCATTAGTTATTTAGCACACAGGAAATCCCTCCACCCACAGTGCCAGTGGCACAAGAAGTCTTGGCATCCTTAAGTAAAACAAAGTTGAGATTTTTTTCAGGTTACCCAGGGACTTCAGATTGTTTACTTTGTTAAAGTAAGCAAAAGGATTATACTTTCTCTTCTTTAAGGAGAATGACTGTACCTGGTAATTTTTCTTAATGACAGAAATAAAATAGTGGTTTGAGGGGAGGTATTGAGCAAATGATTCAGGAAAACGGATCTGGCAAAAGGCCATTCCTTCTTGGCAAGAGCAGAGCAGCCTGTGAGGGTGCTGATACCACATTTCCTTGCTGTGGCACAATCCCGTGTTCTTGTAGGGTTCACAGCCCCTTTGCATTCTAGATGTGGTTTGGGACATTGACTGGATCTGGATACTTTTATTTTTTAACTTTCGTTTTGAATTAATTTTAGACTCACAAGAAGTTGTAAAAATAGTCTAGTGAATTCCTGTGTGCCCTTCACCCAGCTTCCCTCCATGACAGCATCTTACATAACCAAAGTGTATTACCCAAACCAGGAAATGGGAATTTGTACAGTATCAACTACTCTACAGATATGGCCATTTTTTGTGTGGTTATTGAGGCAAGATGGCTCAGGAGCCACCCAGGAAGCATCCCATGAAACACACTGGATATGTACCCAGCCCACACCATGAAACACTTGTTGGTCTTCACACTCCATGACCATTCATAAGAGCAGCCTTAGTGCCCTGTGGAAAGTAGCAACATTTTCTTTTCCATAAGGATTAGCCATGATGTCTCTTCAAGGCAGTGATTTTCAGTTCAAGTTTTCTGAAGACTGCAAACAAGTATCAAAGAGCCAGCTGTTTATTGGTATTAAACTAGATTTCTTATGCTGCATTTTGTTTTGTGCACTTAGAATCCTTTTTATTTCTATGGCATATTAACTTTACAAAACCTTTACACATACCTTACTGTATTTGTTTCTTGCAATCAATCCAGAACATTAGGTCCATGGCATAATTCATACTTTATAGGTGAGGAAACTGTGTGTGAGAAAGGTTAAAAGACTTCTGGTGATCATCTACCTTAGTATATCTCCTTCATTGTTTCTACTCTCCAAATATTTTGTTGTTGTTTTAATTTTTTAATTATGCATATCATTTTAACAAATCAAATGGCTCTATAAGGTTTACTGTGAAAAAGAGCAGTCCACTGCCCTGGTTAATAATCTCCAGAAGAAACCATTCAAACTTTTAGCTGCAACGTTTGGTCTTTATCCTCAGCTCTCTAATAACACACACTGCTATTTCCTGATTTTTCACTTTTAGGCATTATCTACTGATTTCCTACTTTGGAAGGTGAGGATACCGTTTTTCTTTCACTGAGTTCTCCATTGCTCCTGTCTTATACTTGATCACCCTCCTCCCACTCCAGGTGGAATCATAATTCTGGGTGTATCAGTATTTGGGAATTACTTTATTGTGACTCTGTAAATACTAGTTACTGCTGAGTTGTCAGGCTATACATTATACTACGATTGCTACTGCTCAGCTTTATATTTTTCCCAGAGTTAGTAGTTGGCAAGTTTTCTCCTTTGCTTAGTTTTCTAAGCAACTTTCTTACAGCTAATGTATCTCTCTGTTTTCCCCCATGTCCCAAATCTGTCTATATGCCTGATTTTTTATCAGTTTTATCTTCTTGGCATCGTCTGTCTGTGAGTGCTGTGGCCTGTTGCTCACCGGGCTAGTTACCCTCTAGGCTCACAACAAGCCTGGATCTCCACCTGTTTCCTGGGCTTTCCTCCCATAGTTCTCTTTTATTGGGTTCCCTGAATTCCATGTTTCTTTTTAGGTTTATTCACTCATTTTGGTGGAGTACTTCTTGTATCTTCCTCTAGTGTCTTCCAAGGATAGCTGGGATATATTTTTTGAGATCTTGGGTATCTGGGCATATCTTTACCCTAGTCTCATATTTAATTGATAATTTGGCTAGAGATAGAAGTCTATACATAGATATCATTTTCCTGAGGATTTTACATTATTCTATATTCTTTGCCTATGATGTGGTCATTGAGAAGTCTAGAGCCATTTTAATACCTGATTCTTCCTAAGAAATGTGTTTTTTCCTTTTTGGAATTCTTTAAGGCCCTCCTCTCACCCTCATTTAATGGTGGCAGACCTTAAGGTGTTACTATTTTCATCCATTGTGCTGGGAGCTCGGTGAACCCTTTCTATCTGAAAACTCTTGCATGTCCACTGCAGGAAATGTTCTTGAATTATTTATTTGTTATCATCTCCCTCCATTTGGTCTGTTCTCTCTCCTTTTTCAAATTCCTATAATTCATTTACTCGGCCTTCTGGATTCAGTCTCCAATTTTCTTTCTGTTTCTCTTTTACTTTCCTTCTCTATTTTTTCCAATCTCTGAGAGATTTCCTGAATGCTATCTTTCATCCCCTCTAATGAATGTTACTTTTTCATGTTCTTTATTAATTCCAAGATGCATATTTTTCCATATTGTAAAGCCTCTGGAATCAGGATGTATTACATAAATAATGATGGCACATCACAATGACAAACTGTCATCCGGGCAGAAGCCAAAGCATCGTTGTTATTGCCCATCCCTTACAAACTTGTCACATCATGAGTTATGTGAATTCTTGATACCACACATGTAGATACTACATGTCAAGAAATGTAGCTGAAGAAAGGCACAATGCCAAATCCCTTGGAATAAATGAGAGAGCTTTTACAGCAACAAGGAACTGGTGCAACCAAGTTGTGCTTTCTGCAGGATTATCATTGAACCATCAGACCTCAATTTGTCAGGAACTTCCTGCTGACTTTGAACAAAATCTGCATGACATCAAGTGATGTAAAATTCACTTGTGAAAAGATGAAATTATTATTTAAGCCAAATAAAATAGTGCTGGTTTTGAAATTTGAAATATGGATGTCAGAAGCTTAGAAAAAAACCCTAAGAGTCTACTGGAGTAATTGGCTAAGAAATGATGCATAATCTCTATTCTAATGTCACAGAGAAAAATATTAAATGGGGGAAAAAGATGTCAGTGATTCTCACTTAGGAAGGGGTCTCTGAAGATTAATGTGAAGATGTTAAGGAAGTAATACATTTTTCTTATGCACACGCACAATATGGTGATGTATAATACACCTATCTCTGGGTAATATTAAAAGTTTTTCAATAGATAAAAATAAAAATTGTGTTAAGCATTGTATCATACAATGCTTACCACTTTTTTTTCTTTTTTAATGTTATAAAAATAATGGTGTATCTTATATCTTACAGATGTTGGTATTTTTTATTTCTAAGATCTGTGTTTTTCTGAAAATATTTTTGGTGATATATTGCTCTTGTTTCATGGATAAAATATTTGTCATCTCTGTGAGGACATTAATGACTGTTTTTTTTTGAAGTTTTCATTTCTATGTAGTGTCTGGGTTTTCTCTGAATTGCTTTTTATCCCACTGATGTTTAGAACCCCATTCATGTAAGAAACTCCCCTTTAGATGTCTGATAGCCCTTGGTTCTCTATCAATACCTAAAAGTTTAGTGCTGACGAACTGTTTGGACACTCCATAGAGTTGGGTGAGCCTTGAGCTGAAGATTTGGGGAAGGAGGCCTAAGGATGCGACTCTCCTATCACCACGCCTTCCTTTACTCTCAGGCTGGTACTACCAGTTCCCCAGCTGACTGGTGCTCTTCGCAGAAAATCAGGCTTTTTTCTATGGAGAGCTAAGTCACCACTTTTTCTTCTGCTTTCTGCCCTCCAATATTTTGTTGCTGTCATCTTCCCTCCTACAGTTTATTTCTTTTGTGTGTTCCTTTGCCATAATTTTGGTTGTTTCTGGAAGGAGAAGCAATAAACGTGGGTGTTCTGTCTTTAAAAAGAATCTCTCCATATTCTCTAGCCTAATTGAAATGTTTTCAAATTAAATTATGGAATTTTCTTTAATGTTAGTACTTCTAGATGTTTCTTTTCTTTTCTTTTTCTCATTTTATTATCTCCAAACCATGATTATTTTGTTTTTTATATGCTTTGTTTAGAGCAGAGAAAATAATTTAATTTAGGAAAGGGGAGAAGGAAATGGAAAGGAACCTAACTTTAAGTGATATTTCATTTAATTCCCACAAAAACCCAGCAAGACAGACATAAGCACCCTGTTACATAGCAGAGAAAGGTCAGAGAGGTTACGTACCTGGCTCACAGTTTCATTAAGCAGATCCTGGAGTAACTCCTCTCAAACTCAGATTCTTTCTCCCCTAGCATTTCTGTCACCTTACGCTGAGGAAAGATGAGAACAATTAGAAGCACACTGTCAAATGTCTCTGGTGTCTTGGAAAAATTCCTTCTTGAATACTCTCTACATCCTTCCTTTCATTTCACAGCTTTAGCAGAACATAGTCCCTTCTTCCCACTTCCTTCAACCTGAGGCCCCTGAGGGACTTTCCCAGCTCCTACCACTCTGTGACCTCCTAACACCAACCAATCATAGGTCACCAATCTCAGCCAAGACCCTTTATTGGTGGAAATCTCTTTTGGCTTTTGTTTCCCAACTGAGAAATGTAAGTATTGATGTATAGACATTTCCAGTGATGGACACAGGTGAAATTCTGCCCTGACTGGTAAGCCTGAAAGAGAGTCATTCACTCTGATTATCAAGGTGAGCTGGGCCTGTGGGGCCTGGAGCCAGGCTGTTCTCAGGACTCAGTTGGGGTGGAGTATGACCAAAGCTGGGCCTGAGGGGCAGGGCCCAGCGGACTGAGGTCTAAATGCTGAGGGCTTAAGGGGCAATTGTTAAAGGGGATCAGTGAGATGAGACGAGGCATACTCTGAGATGGTCAGCCTGTCACTTTGTCAAACTCTGGGGTAGGAGAAAGGGCTGTTGGGTGATTAGGACTAGGAGAGGACTGACAGATAAAATACAGGGCACTCAGTTAAATTTGAATTTCAGATCAACAACCGATCATTCTTTAGTATAAGTGTGTTCCATGCAATATGTGGGACACACTTACACTAAAAAAAATTTGTTTTTAATCTGAAATTCAAATTTAATTGGATCTCATGTATTTTTATTTGCTAAACCTGTCAACCTCAAGTAGGGAGTGGATGTGAGTAGCCTTCAGAGATGCTTATTACTCCAGACTGTCTTGAAGTCTTTCTTGAAACAAAATCTTATCAGAAAGCCAATATATATAAAAAAAAAGCAATGAATCTGCTCAAGTTGAAGCAGGACTAAAGGGGTCTCTCTTCCATTAGCCCTCTATGCCATCCCCCATTTCCTGCAATGCCTTAAGGCATTGCACACAAATGTGAAAACTTACTGAAGAGCATGCATAATTTCTTCCATTTGCAAGGAGGGGTGTTTCTGGAGTTACTTCTGCAGTCCCCTTAGGAAGGTGCAACCATGTCCTTTAATGGAAATGTCAAGTGTTGACCAACTTTGAAGGTAGCTGAATCCTTGCTGCCAGGAGCCCATGGCATCATTTCCAGATGGCAGGACTCAATCTCCTGAGGAATTGGATCTCAGGTGGGCACTGCAGGTTTTCATTTGGCTTGGTCCTGGAGGGGAGCAATGTGTATGGCTTTGTAGGCTTTCTCTGGTGTTGAGGGGGTCTGACAGATGAGGCACTGAGTGGGGTGTAGGTGATACCAGTATGTAAACATGTACAGGAAGCATGGAAGTATGTACCTTCATAAATTGGCTCCATTAATGGAAAACACTATAGTCTGATTTAGGACATGATACTCATTACTTCTGACACTTACACTTTTAGAAATATTGTCTGTAGTATATGACAAAGAGTCAATATTATTTCAGTACTTAAAAGACTAGGGAAAAAATTGAACTATATTTGAAATTCCCGAGGATATAATACTACAAATTATTATAGCATATCAGTGGATTTTATAGTTCACAGGGGTATCAGTGCAGTTTTGAATAATATATTTTGAATTAAACTGACTATCGTTGATAAGGTGTTGCAGTATAAAGGATATTTGTAACAGTGAATATAATTTCTTACTGATCAAACCAGGAAAGACAAAAAGAAAGGTGCTCAATGTAAATGAAAAAAAGTGCAATGTGTATGATAAAACAGCACCAACGGGAAAGCTTTTGTCTTCTTTCCCAAGCAGAATGATCTTCAACCCAAGACTGATGCAAAGAGAGCATCTAGCTGCCTCAAATGAGAGCAGGGCTGTGTGCTCAGATAAATGACGCCCCAGAGGCCTGAAAGAACTTGCAGATGTGGTCACAGGGCTATCCGACCGCGAGGAACCCGGGGAAACAAGAGACGGCAAAAGACCGGAGATGGGCAAATGAGTTCCAGATTTTCCTCCCCAACAGGAAAGGTGACTTATGGATCTGTGCGCTGGTTATGTTTAATGCTGAGCATCAACAAAACTCCAGAATGAATGATTAAAGCGGCTTTGTGCATATTTATTAAAGCAAGTGGTGACTGTGAGGCACTCTGCTGAGTTCCCCGAAATCTGAGCTCAGGCCAGCCAACCTTATTTCTATTTTGTAGCACTTGACAGGAGGAACAGGGAAATATTGCATTCAGAAATGACATTTTAGCAAAACATTTGCCAGTAGTTTCTCATGACATCCTTGCATACAGAGAAATGTGGCCTGGCGATCCCAGGGTCCTCTGTATTCCAGTATTCCATACATGCAGCCGCCATTACAAGGCTGCAAGAGAAATGAAATGGTCATAACACAAACACTTATGAATGAGCTCATTAAAAACCTGTAACTTGTTAAAGTGAGATAGCCGCACTCAAATATCCGTCCTCTCTTGTGTTAGTTGGCTAGAGCTGCCATAACAAAATACTGCAGACTAAGGGGCTTAAACAGAAATGTATTTTCCTCATAGTTTTGGAGGCTAGAAGTCTGAAATCAAGGTGTTGGATGAGCTGGTTCCTTCTGAGGCTTCTCTCTTCTGCTTTCACATGGCCACTTTCCCCATATGTCTTCACGTGACCGTTCCTCTGTGTTTGTCTCAATCTGCTCTTCTTATAAGGACACCAGTTAGACTGGATAGGACCCACCTCTGATGATCTCTTTTTAATTTACAGAAGTATTACGTCTTTAAATACGCTATCTCCACATAGAGTGGCAATCTGAGTTATTAGGGGTTATGACTTCAACATATGAATTCTGGGGAACACAATTCAGCCCATACCATCACTTTATACCAGCATCTGTCCCAGCCCAAGGTTTTAATTTCTTTTCCTGTTGATGGCTTGTTGATTTTCTTGTGCAATAAATAATAAAAACAGGTGCTATAGTATTGAAAGCTTACTACATGTCAGCACTGTTTTATGTGCTTTACTATGTGAACTCATTTAATACTCATTAAAACCTTGTAAGGTAAGTATTATTATTAATCCATTTTACAGATGAGGAAATTGAGGCTCCAGATCCAGTGAGTAGCAGGGTAAGATTTCAACCTGGAGTATCTAGATCCAGAATTTATTTTAATAGCTATCTTATTTGCGGTAATTCAAATCAGTTGCACAGTGCAGTTATGAATCTTGCAAAAGATGTAGGATTTCAAGAAGTCTTTCAGAGAATTGCTTGAAGAAGACCCAAAATAAGAAACAAAGAAGTTTCTAGAAAGGTTGGACTTGGTAATGGAAGAAGAAAATGTTTCATGAAAACTTCAAAAAACCACAGAGTGAATTATTTGAAGATAAAAGAAGTAAAGACCTTAGGAAAATTAATGAAGCCTTGTAATATTTTTGCAGAAATGAACAGACTTTGTGATCATGATCTGAATGTCAAAAGTAAAATGAAGACTATCACATCTTGCTGTCATACAGGTTTGTCAGAAAATGTGCCCCCTCCTACTAAAGAATACAGAACTTGATCTTTTCTTTCTTTAGCCTTTGAACTGTTATATGGTTAAGTTGTAACTGAACTGTCATTAATGTTAAGGCAAAATTGATTTGAAAAATTTTGGGGTTTATTTTTTGCAATTAATTCCAATAAAACATTATTTTCAATATTTAATTTATGGTTTTCTGTTTTAAATGGTTTTGCTTTAGGTGTATTTTTCAGTATTAATTATGCTCAGCTAATGATCCTCTATATCATATCAATGGATTGAAAACCTGCATCCAAAGAGTATTAACTGGTTAGTGTCAAACTGGTGGTGTTTCTGATGATGTACCTCATAGGGTTTGTATTTTATGTTTTATATTTTAATGTTTCATTTGGTGAAGAGCTACCAGACATGCTTATTTAAAAAATGGTGGTGAAAACCTGGGAGAGATAGCTTATATGATGGATAACAGAAAAAGGTTCACAAATATTTCAGGGGCTAGAACATGAATTAAAACCATAAGAAGAATTTTAACTAGAAAAATTGCATGTAGGTTTAAAAGTATCTATTTCATTAATACTGGAGAAAGAACTGGCTAGACGGTGTAATCAAAAGCATGATTCAGATGTTTGATGCTATTCCTAGATTAAGCTAGTTAATCTTAGTTGACCATGTTCTAGCTACACTTCCCAGTGGCTTTATGGTCTTTTCTAAATACCATTATAATAAAAACACTGGTGTAAACAGGAGGGTGACTAGAATATCAAAACATTTAAAAACAATGTGCTATAGGAAATAAAGCAACTAAAAATGTTAAACCCTTAGGAAATGATACAGAGGGAATATATAGGAGCTGTTTTCACATATTTGTCCACCACTTACTATTTGGACTGGAGAGAAAGGAGTAAAGAGATATACTTTAGTTTAACATAGTAGAAGAGCCTTGTAACAATTAAAGGAGGTTAGTAAATGCCCAGGAAACACTGACCTTTCTATCCCTGGAAGTATTTAAGCAGCTGATTCATGCACAACTTGTCAGAGTTGCAGGGAAATTTCTACATCAGATGGAAGACTGGTTCCATCTAATCTGAGAAACTAAGATGAATTTACCTACTATATTGTTTTAAGTTGTATCTTTTAGAATGCTTTTAGTTAGATAAAATACTGAACTATCAACAACTTTAATGAAAGACATTCAGTTATTGCACATAACATAAAGTCAGAGGCAGGAATTTCCAGGGTTAGTTCAACAACTAAGTGATGCTATTGGCCATCCATCCATCATTCATTCCACCATATTGTTGACATTTCTCCCCAGGTTAGAGGAAACCTCATAGTCTCAAGATGCAGGCTGAAGAGTGAGGTATCACAGCCTCATGTGATCAAATTCAAAGGCAGAATGCATAGCAAAGCCACAGTGGAAAGGGAATTTATGATTATCTTTTTTTCACTGGAGAGAAAAAAAATCTTATCTAAAAGAGACTGTTCTTCTGACAGAATTCTTCTAATACTTAATTTTTTGGAGCTGGAACATATCATTGCTAGCTTCAGCAGAGGCTAGGAAAGCTACCTCAGAAGTTATCCCTTTCTGAGGGAGTCAGGCTTTGGTAAGGAAAAGAAAAGGGGACAATGGCTGTTATGTGGGCAACTAATAGTGTCTCAATACTCTAGTTCTACTCTATTAGAAATAACTTCTTGGCTTTTCGATTTATCTATTTTGGAGGTAAATTTTTCATAGTAAAATGTCAGTGAAAATTTCATCTCTAAAATTTTACTCACATTTTATTATGAAAATTTTCAAAACTAAAGACTTGCACAATGAACACTTATATACCCACCACTTAGAATTCTACAACTAACATTTTACTATATTTGCTTTGTCACATATCTATCTACTTTTCCACCTATCAGCTCATTTTATTAATTTATAAATAATTTTGACTCATTTCAAAGTAAATTTCAAGCATCAGTAACTTCGTCTCTAAACACTTCAGCATGTGTGTCATTAAGTAAAGTTAAAAATATTTTTACTGTTCTTTTGTTAAAGTAAACTCTCAATTAATACCCTAAGATCAGGAATAAAACCAGGATCCTGCTTTCTCCACTCTATTCAACATGATATTTGAAGTCCTAGCCAGAACAATTAGATAAGAAAAAGAAATAAAAGACATTTCAACTAGAAAAGAAGAAGTAAAATTATCTCTGTTCACAGATGATATGATCATGCATGTAGAAATCCCTGAAGACTCTACAAAAATACTGTCAGACTGGTAAGTCCGGGGATTAAAGATGGTGGCATGAGAGGTGAGATGGAGAATTCCTCCCAAAATCACAAATAGTATGAAAATATAGTTAATTGCTACAACTAACCCTAAAACAGCAACAAAAAAGAAGGCTGAACCAGACTGCATGCAGACCTCAGGAAAAGAGCAGACCTCACAAACACAGGGTAACATACGAAAGCCTTTATCAGGTGGGACCCAAGCCCTTCCCCACCCCAGCTCACCTATGGGAGGAAGAGAAACGGAGCTGGGGAGGGGGTTCAAGCCTAGAACTGCTGAACACCAAGCCCTGGAGGTCTGCTTTGGGAGCAGAAACCTACACTGTGTGGTGCTCTGGACGTTGGGGAGCTCAGACAGATGGAGTACTTGAGAGACAGATTGCAGCCATTTGTGGAGGAGGGGATCCACACCCGGCCACTCAGGGATGAAGGAAAGGCAGGCAGTCTGAGAG